GGGAGAAGAGAGCATTTCAGTGATAGGTAGATGTTATTGAGCAAAAATATAGAGGCTTATTTTAGTGAGGCAGATAATATTATGCATAAAGGAGGAGAATATGTAGAAAAGTCAGTCACTGCCTACTAAATCCATGCCATGTACTAAGTGAATCAGTGTCTTCCTGCTTCTCCAGACATTTAAAAAGACATATTTTTTACCATGTAACCATCACCAACATCTGATATGACTAAGATATAGGTTACACAAACTAAAGAGAGTTAATCTGTAGGTTATTTTTGACCTCTTTATGTAAAATGTCCAAATATGAAGTGGGCCAACCCAATTCCTTTCTTTAGAATTTGGAGTTGGGTTACTAAAATCCTATGAGTAAATAAATATTTCCAAATTTATCAATTAAGATATAAAATTTGAACATCATGAGATCCAAGGAGCAATGGTCAGAAAATCTCTCCAGTGCCATGTCTCTAAATACTAACCCTGAGTATGTAGAGTGATTGGAAGCAGAAAGATTATGATGTCAAAGGGTACTGGAGAAAGGAATGGATGCAACTATTCAAGGTTGGGTAAAGCCAAACATGAAGGAGTAGAACACATGGGTAAGTAGAGAAAGCCAATTAGTGTAGAGAGGATAATTGAGCAGGAAGACAAACTTTCTGGAGTCAGAGAGACAAGAGAGACTGGGCCACACAACTGCTGAGCTCCTGAAATTTCAGTGCCATTTCTAGTCCACATTCCTCCCTAAAATAGGTGCACTTTTTCTACCATCTTTGTTGAGGTAGTTTTTCTTTTCCTTTTTTTTTCTATCCTTTCTAAAACCAAGGCACTCTATTTAATAATTTGTTTTTCTTATGTAACCATGTAAAATGTATTTTCATGTCAGTATATATGTATTTACTACTCATTAAAGGGATGATTTTCACTCCCTCTTGATGTTGAAAATGTTTTTGAAAAATATAGATTTATGAAGCTGAGAGAAAACTACCTGTATCCAACTACACAATTGGGCACTCTGAATGAAAATAAAGAGAAACAGCAGATAATAAGTCCGATGATTGAAAGGAATATATTGTAGAAGACTGGAAAAATACTTATAACCTCAAGGGTTCACAAGTCCCTGTGCTCCAACATTGCAAAAAATGAAGGGAAAAATGTTACCCACTTCTGTTTTTAAAGAGGCAAATGTAATCTTCTACTGTCACTATGACTTAGTGATGCAGATCCAGGGTCAAACTGCATGATGTGAAGGATTCCATGTTTCAGTAAAATACATCAATTGGAAAGACTATGTCTGACAAAGTATCAACTCCATATTGCACAGATTACCTAATATTTGCTGGAAATACTTAAGCTAAAATAAAAGAAAAAGAAACAGAGGTAAGGTGTTTTGATGCATGGAATATCAGATACTTGGTTAAATAATAGATGTAGATGATTACCTCCTAATCAATATAACACAACTTTAAATTTCAACAGATAGCATATAAATATTCTACTAACATTAAACTTTAAATATTTTTATAAAATACAGGAAAGAGAAAAAAGCAAAGTTCATGTATTTTATCTTCCTTTGGATGGCTATTACTTTCTTATAGTAAACATCAAAAGAAATTCTATTAATATAAATTTCTAAAATTAAAAGGAAAAATTAAAACTTAATTAAAAGTATAATTTTATCTGAGAATGTGCATTTAACCAAAGGAGAATAAAAACTAATGAAGAAAGTTTAGAATACACTTTTGGGATCATAAACAGTCAGAGTAATCTAAGGATGGTAGAACAGTACTCTAAAACCAGTGTTCATGGCGAAAGGGCAAACAAAATGTAAGACTCAGTTATTTTTTGTGATGGTGAGAAAGATAAATGGTGGCAGAATGAAAAAATCACCCAATAGTGTTTCTGAGAGAATAAAATTTCTAAATTGGAAAGGATAGAAAAAGCAACTATAGAAACAATTAAACCTATAACAAATGAATAAATAATATGGTTTCAAATTAATTTCAGATACAGATGATTTATGTCCTATACAGAATATACCCTTCTGAGAGTTAAACTATTGTCAGCCATTCTTAAAGGATTACAGAAAACAGCACAGTGTTTGGCAATTGGGAGTAGAAAATTGTTGCCTTTTTTTCCAAAATAATAAAAATAATAGATTTTTAAACTCTCAAATAATGAACAAGCTGTCAATCATTATAGAATATCCTCACATAATTTGAAAAGAAAATTACATGATTTAGCATAAAAGGAAGCAGCAGAACAAGCACATAAATAGGCACTAGAAAGAGAATTCCTGCCTTCAAGAACAGTCTATTCCAAATATTAAATGTATTGGATCAAATTTAAGTCTTCATACCTAAGTTTTCTCATTTTTAAAATAGTAAAATAGCACATAAATTATAGATTTGTAGAGATGATTAAGCAAAATAATTAAGATGCAGTGCCTAGAACAATGTAGAATGTTTGTATAACAAACCATTAAATAAAAATAAGCCATGATTACAAGGACTGCTACTATCACCACTACTACCACTGTTACCCCTGCTACCACCACTACCACTACAAGTACTACAGTTTTAAGAAATATTGAACATTTAGCACTCTCCTACGTTTTGAAAGTACTACACACAGCAAGCAAACTTTTATTCTTTGGGTAGTGGTTCCAGCAAGAGGAATGAAAATTGTGCTATCCTAAAGATATATTTTGTGTAGATTTTGGCAAGTCATATGACAAATTTTTCTCAAGATATCCTTTTGAAGAAGAATTGTATATGTACCTTGGATGGTAGTATGGCTATTCTTATTTCTAGTATACTGGACAGGCTTATAGGCCAAAGAATGATGACCAATAAATCAATGTCCATTTTGAGACATTGTGTTGTATATATCAAATGCAAGCTTTTTGAACAGAGAGAGTTTTCTCCATAGCACGCATAAGATTCAGTCAGTTGTGTGCTCACAAAAAATGAATGAAAAAAGGAAAGAAAAAAATAGAAGAATTAAAGAGAGAAATGAAAAGTCCTGATATGTAGAATATTTGGCAATTATTGTAAATATTTTCCCATAGACACTTTGTTTTTTTTTCTTGTAAATTCTATTCAGTAATAATTTTAAGATTACAGAAAAGTTACAAAAAATAAGAGCAGTACAAAGAACACAGACATATACCATTTACCCAGTTTCACATATTTAATCTACCAAACTACCAATATGACCTCATGTTGCCAGGAGATGCATACAATTAGCTCTCACGAACCAATATAAGATAGAAATAGCACACCAGTAGCTTCAGCCTTCCACAATAAAATTTGTAATATTTTATTACTAGCATTTATGAGAAACTTACTTTATGACAGGTACCTTGCATTATCTCATCTAATGCTCCTAACAACTAAAGGAAGTGTAAGCTACTCATGCCCTAATTTTACTAACATAAAAACTTGTGATGTCCAGAATTGGGTAACTTTTCACAGGTCCTAGATAGTCAAAAGAAGAGTCAACAGGTTTTACATTCAGGCCCAGGTTTTTGAGACTACCCTTGTAATTTCTCCATGTGTATCACAGTTTGGAGTAGTCAGAGCTAATGAGATACTAATATGGTATACTATATGATCAAGTAGTCTTGACAGGCACAATTATAACTTTTCAAAAGGTAAGTGTTAAGTGTTAGAAGTCTGAGGCAAACATAGATTCCAAATAAAAATTATACAAATAAGATAGGAGGAAGATATCATAATCTTTAAGAAACTTAAACCAATTAACAAGCAAAAAACAAACAACCCATAAAAAAGTGAGCAAAGGACATGAATGACACGTTTAAAAAGAAGACATACATGAGACCAACAAGCATATGAAAAAATGCTCAATATCACTGATCATTAAAGAAATACAAATCAAAACCACAGTGAGATATCATCTAACACCAGTCAGAATGAAAATTATTAAAAAGTCAAAAAAATAACAGATTTGTAGGTAAGGCTGCAGATAAAAGGAAACACTTATACACTGCTAGTGGGAATGTAAATTAGTTCAGTTGTTGTGGAATGTAGTTTGGCGATTTCTCAAAGAACTCAAAGTAGAATCACCATTTGACCTGGCAATGCCATTACTGGATATATACTAAAATAAATATAAATTATTCTACCATAAAGAAACATGCATGCATATGTTCATTGCTGTAATATTTAAAATAGCAAATATATACAATCAACCTAAATGCCCATCAATGGAGGATTGGATAGAAAAAAAATGTGGTACTCATACAACATGAAATACTACAAAGCCATAAAATGAACAAGATCATGTTATTTGCAGCAACATGGATGGAGCTGGAGCTCATTATCCTAAGCAAAATAATGCAGGAAAAGAAAACTAAATACCACATGTTTTTACTTAGGTAGCTGAACATTGAATACATGTAAAAACAAAGAAGAAAACGACAGACACCAGGGCCTACTTGAGGGTGGAGAGTAGAAGGAGGGTGACAAGTGAAAAACTACCCATTGAGTACTATGCTTATTACCTGGGTGGCAAAGTAATCTGTGTAGCTAACCCTGGTGACATGTAATTTACCTATACAATAAACCTGCACATGTACCCCTGAATCTAACATAAAAGTTGAAAAAAACTTATTAAGCTTGGGTAGAACATCAAGGAAACACATAATAACACTACCGCCAATAATGTACTTTTGCATATTTATCAAATATTTATTTCTAAGTAGGCAAGAACAATGCTATTATTTTATTGGTTTTTTTTTCTTCTGAAAAAGGGTGAAGAAAAAAATTAAGACCAGTTAAGAGGTTGGCATGGTTTGTCTCTGTGTCCCCACCCAAATCTCATCTCAAATTGTAATCCCTATGTGTCCAAGGAGGGACCTGTAATCCTCTCATGTTGAGGGAGGGAGGTGATTGGATCATGGGCTTGGTTTCCCCCATACTGTTATCAGGATAGTGAGTGAGTGCTCATGAAATCTGATGGTTTTTTAAAATGTTTGACAGTTCCTTCTCAGCTCTGTCTCTCACCTGCCTCCATGTAAGACAGTGCCTGCTTCCCCTTCTGACAGGATTCTGTTTCCTGAGGCCTTCCAAGCCCTGCGGAACTGTGAGTCAAGTAAACCTCTTCCTTTATAAAGTACCCAGACTGAGGTATGTCTCTATGGCAGTGTGAAAACAGACTAAAACAGAGATGCTGGAAAAGATTTCCCAATCTTTTCATATATTGTAAAATAATGTCACTTCTTACACTTAAATATTTACAAATGGCTACAAATCGTTTGCATTTTTATTAGGCACACACTTCAAAATTGTGACTTAAACTGTTGAAAGCAACAATCATATAGTAGCTGTCATTATGACAGTATGGATATCAGTTTGAAAGTTTTGTAAAATATTACACTCACATGCCATATTTTGCAATGAACCTCTGTTAAACACTTGTAAATTTGCAGTGTGCATTTATCCACACTATCTCATTTAACACTGTTCTATGAGAGAGATATTTTGGCCATTTCCAGACAGGAAGTAGATACTGAGAGGGGTCACCAGACTTTCCTAAGTCCACACACAGAGTGAGTGGTAGAACCAGAGTGAGTGGTAGACCCTATTTAGGCCACCTATCTTCCAGGCAAACGTTCTCAGAAAGCATCTTTGGTGTGGGATGATGAAAGAGGCTAGAGATCACATGGATGTGAATTCAAGGCTTAATTCTAACACCTGACAGGTGACTTTGTAAGTTTTGGTATAAGTGTTGTATAGCTTTTTAAAAGTTATTTGCTGTAGTGTTTTTGTGAGGCTTAAATGAGCTAATGTTAATGAAAGTACTTTGTTAGTGTTAAAATTACATCAAAATATTAAGAGTTGTGTTGCCTTTGCTAAAGGAAAACTGTTATCACATTTGGAATGGCCTTATGTAAATGTTTTCAATGGGGAATAAATTGCCTATGAAACCATTCCAATAATGAATCTAAAGCCTGCTGGCAAATGTGGTGGAGCCTGGAAAAGACACGTTCGGATATTGTCTCTTTATCTCTCTAATGTCTCTGTGGCTAAAGGAGTGTAGCAGCTGCTGCTGTTACTATCACTGTCATAATTATTATTTCTAAGTTATTGATGGGAAAACCAACAAGATAATGTGTGAGTATGTGTGTGTGGTATGTTTGATGTGTTTTTGTGTTTGTATAAGTTTGATGACTGGCACAAAGGAAACACTCATTAAATCATTTTATTATTGCTGCTATGATATTTTATGCTACTTTATTGAAAGAAAGTAAGTTTTAACATCTATTACTCCAGAATAATCTCCAGGTCTGAATAGATTCCTTTAATATCAAGGGATCATATGAAAGATAAGTCATTGATTTAATGTGGCAATCAGATTCATTGAGTAGGTAGAATTAACCATGAGCGGTGTGATAATGAGACAATAATAGTATTTTTAAATGTCAAATGTGATTTTTGATGCTGGAAAATTTAGTTGATGATGAAAACTAGAGGTTTTCAGAGAAGCAATGATTATAATAATTAATATGAGCTGAGCCCTTACATTGTGTGCCAGACATTATGGAGGTTCTTTGAGCATATTATCTCATTGAAATCTCAAAAAAATTCATAAAATTCACATGATGTGCATTAATGGATGAAGAAATCAGGCATATTAGTTGGCAAGTGACTGAGTCTGGCTACGATTTAAGGTAATTTCACTCCAAGTTGACATGCATGTAACACCATGTTATTTTCCCTCTCACAATACTATTGAAGTGTAAACTGAATTAATGTGACTCTTGTGTACAAGGAAGGAGAGTTAGTGGGTCCTCTTGTACACTTTGCTTATCAAACCACTCACTAGATGCTAGAGGAAACAATAAACAATAAAAGTTATAAATGATTATTGTCTTAGTATAGGACAACCAGAATGATGAGGCTGCTTCAGTCTATGTTATCTGAGAGCACTTGAAATGATACTTCTGTAGCCCAACAATATGAATGAATCATCTTCAAATTTTTAAAAAGTGTGTTACGTATACACCATGGAATACTATGCAACCATAAAAAGGAATGAGTTCATGTGCTTTGCAGCAAAATGGATGGAGCTAGAGGCCATGATTCTAGGTGAACTAATGCAGCAACAGAAAACTACATACTGGATGTTTGCACTTATAATTTGGAGCTAAACATGGAGTACACATGGACACAAAGAAGGGACAACAGACACCTGGGCCTACACAAGGGTGGAGGGTAAGAGGAGGTAGATGATTGCAAAACTACCTATTGGGGACTATGCTTATTACCTAGGTAATGAAATAATCTGTACAACAAATTCTTGTGACATGCTATTTACCTATATAACAAACCTGCACATGTACCACTGAACCTAAAATAGAAATTAGGAAGAAAGTAAAAAAAGAATTTCAAGATGGCAGCAGCACAACATTTAAATAATTCATACAACAAATTGAATTTTTATTCAACTCATTATGATTAGACAATTTAATATAATCATAGCATAGCATTTTGACAAAGGAGGCATTTGCTATTCATTATACTTAGAATGCTTTGGGGGCATGTGCAACAGGAATAGATAATTAGGAAGGGTGGCAGTCAGAATACTTGTGCCATGTAGAGAACAGTTGAAGAAACTGAGGATTTCCATTATAAATGGATGTATCTCTATCTATCTATGTATCTATCTACCTATGTATCTATCTAAGAATCTATCTATGTATCTATGTATCTATGTATCTATGTATCTATCTATCTATCTATCTATCTATCTATCTATCTGGGAAAGATGTTTTATGCTTAATTTAATAAAAAGTTGAATATACACATTTGTCAAAAAAATAGGGAATTTTCTTGGGGATAACCAAATTAACCATCCCTTCCTCATTACAAACAAAAGCTGAAATCAACACACTGAAGTACGTATTCTTGCAGTGGATAGGGGGTTGAAATGTGTGATATCTATGATGCTCTCAATGATTAGTGGAATTGGTATATTTTGAATGGGTTATTAGTAAATGTATAAATGACTCTGAAATGGATAAGTGTGATGGCTGTATATTTAATGAACCAAGGAAATATGACCCACTCATGCTTAGAAGGTTCAGATGTGACCATTCAGGCAGAAATTGGTGGCATCTGTTGCCAGTTTGGAATTTCACAAGTGCTGAATATTATCATTTATGTGGCACATTAAATGAATGTGCAATGCTTACTGGTCAAAATGATCAGAACTGTTCTATATCAAATTTCTCCCTCTGTTAAGCCATAAGATATAGTCAATGCTCAGTTGATCATTAGGATTCTCCTAATGTGACACTAAAATTTTACTTTCATAGACTGAAGCCAGTATGGTATAGTTGACTTATTAATTATTGTACATATATAAAGAATGAACAAGCCTTATGTGTAATAATAATTTGTGGTAGATAAATCTGTATTTCAATCTGATTAAAAATAGGTAATTTTAAAGTTTTGCTTCTCAAAAACAGAAAAAAAATATAGAAAAGTTCTCTAGTTGTGACTTGAACAACTATCTTGTTTCTTGTACTTTATCATGTTTCTGGGGCAGATAAAAATCTATGGTGGTAGGATTTAGTAACAGCAAGAAATTATTAAGAAAATTTGTGACTCAAACAGATTATAAGCAAAATAATTGCTGCGGAGAATGATGTAGACATAATTTGGGATCTTACCATTGTTTTCTAAAATGTTGAGTGGAGGAATAATTATATTTTAAAATAATGTTGAAAATAGTTCTTTACTAAGAATGGTAATTCTCTTTCAAGTGGCAGAATTAGTGGATTTTGCCACATTCTCTTCTCAGAAATAGCCATCAAAGACGAAAAACAAACAAAAAACAGATAAAAACCCACCTTTGAGGAAACTACATCTGTTGTCTCAAACGAAAATATTTATAAGCTGCCAAATACAGAGAAAATCAAATGAGTGTGGGAAGATGCCAAGAAAGTATGATTGCAGCTGATTTCAGCTACAGATGGCAGAGCACAATCCCCAAAAGTAAGCAATACATCCTGAGGGTTAAAACAAGCACAGTGTGCACGGCTGGAGGTGGTTGCTTCCTGGACCCTGTTGAGCATTACTGAGTAATAGGGAAGGTGGTGCTGAATGAGTAAACATCCTAAACAATTTTTTAGGATGCAGCAAATCAGTAAGGCTGTTTTGAGTTGAAAGGCTGAAATGTAAACAGCCCTACAAATCTGATTTTTTAGGTGGCAAAAAAAAAAAAAAGGATTAAAATGACTCTCTCTCTCTCTCTCTCTCTCTCTCTCTCTCTCTCTCTCTCACACACACACACACACACACACACACACACAATTTTTTCTTTTTTTTATAAGGAAAGTAGTGTAGTAGTGTGCAGTATGAACTAGTATAAATTTCTGGCAGCTGTATTAATAAAAAATATCTTCAAAATGATTAAACTGAGCAAAGAATTAGGAAAAAGAAAAAACAGACACAGGACACTAATCAGAAATATACTACCCCTGAGCTAATAGAAAGCATACACAAGCATGTCACCATAAACAAAGTGATCAATGAAACCACCAAAAAATTTAAAACAAGGAGGAAATAATTAATGAAGATATGGGCTGTGGAAACACGAAAACATAATAACATGAGCTAACTGAATCAGAAAGTGCATAGAAAAGAAAACAAAAATAAAGTCACATTGGCAGCAACACAATGGACACATATCATCTGAAATCACAGTTAAAATAGGAAAATCTAAAATCTGAAAAGAGAAAATCAAATAAAACAAACTATTAAAACAATTAATGAGAAAATAATAGAAAACAAATGGAAAATGTTTGTGGAAAAAAAATGAGAACTATTGAAAAAAAGTTTTCTGAAGAAGGGAATGAGAAAATAAATAGTAACAGACAAATTCAAAATATTTTTCAAACAAAACTAGTTATTAAAGAAAGTGGAATCTACTGATTGAAAGCTGACAGAATATTTCAAGGAAATACTCTGAGACCAAATAGTCTAAATACTCTCAGACCAATTCTGGACTTCACCAGACTTGACAAAAAAATGGCCAATTCATCTATTTAGGTATAACATCAGGCTGGCAGAATTCATAATTTGAGATGGTAAAACAATCATTATATAGTCCTCAGGCTTTGAAATTGTGCCTCCAAAATTTTATATCCAGCCAATCTATTATCTAGACATAAAGTGAAAATTATTGAAAGACAAGCTTTAGAAAACCAAAATATAGATCAAAATGATAGTAAAAGATTAATAGCAATCATTGATACTGCTAAAATTCTAAAACTAAAGCAAAATATTAGAATTATTATTATAGATCATAGTGTAAGTGTTCTAAATTATGCTAAAGGAGAGATACTATAACAAATAAAAAGTCTTTAGTGTTAAAACAACTGGATATGTTTGGAGAAAAAACTAAATCTTGACCACTACTTCATATCACACACACTTGGTAGATTTGTATGACACTTGCTTTTAAATAGAAATATCTGCGGAAAAAAACACAAGTAAACCCAAATAAATGGAAAAATACAATATATAAAAAATAGCATTGCAGATATTTTAGGAAAATATGGACTATTTAATTAATAATATCAAGAAAATAAAGTCACCAAATAGGCCAAAAGAATATAGATTAGATAGATAATAGATAGATGATACATAGATAGATGGATAGATAGATAGATAGATAGATAGATAGATAAGATGTGTACACCTTTTACCAAACCAGTTCCAAACAGCAAAGTTTTTCACTTAAGTAATGATATAAAAATCTAGCGCATCAAAACTGAGAGTTTAAAGAAAAGTATATTTGGGCCTAGCTGGGATATCTGGGATGCAAAACCCAAAACAGATTCAAGACATTGATGAATTTGTATAAATAAAATAAAAATAAATATTCAGTTAAAAAGAAAACAACATAATTCAAATGAAAATAGAAAAAACCTTTCAAAATATTAATATACAGAGGTTTACAAATAGACAATAAAGGAAACACTACTTAAGAAGCATTCCAAGGACATTAATGCACAGAGCATTAAAAGGTAAATGAAAATGATACAATTTCCACAGCATCATTTGTGGTAAGAGATATCCATATTAAACTGATGAGCTACTATATTTCATTTATTATATTGGCAGGGATCATGCAACTTATATAACGTGATTTATTGGTAAATATGTAGGGTAAGAAACATTCTAGCCAATTGTTGCCCTATGCATAAACTGGCACAACATATAATACATGTAAAACATCTTGGTCATATTCATCAAAACTACAATTGCACATTCCCTCTAACCAATAAATTGCACTTTCAGGTTTTACTTTTTAATTACAAATTGACTAGCCTGAAAATATTTATTTTTAACAAATTTTAAATCATGGTAAAATACATGTAGTACAAAATTTCCCTTAGTTATTTTTAAGTGTACAGTTCAGTAGTATTAAGTACATCTGCTTGTTCTGCAATTATCACCATCATCCATCTCCAAGAAAGCATCCAGCTATGTTTTCTTGCATAGCTGAAACTCTGTATCCATTATAGAATAACTCTTTATTCCCCTTTCTTCTAGTACCTGGCAAACGCCATTCTGCTCTCTGTGAATCTGACTACTCTAGGTACATCATATAAGTGAAATCATGCAGTACATGTCTTTTTGTGAATATCTTATTACACTTAATATAATGTTTTAAAAGTTAATCCATGTTGTAACACATATCAAACCTTTCTATTTAAGTCTGAATAATATTGCACTGTATGTATATGTATATACCACATTTGTTTACAGATTTATCTGTCAATGGACTTTTGGGGTGCTTCCACCTTTTGTCCATAGTGAATAATGCTACTATGAATATGGGTGTACAAATATCTCTTCAAGGTATATTCTTTGGGATACATACCCAGAAGTGAAATTGCTGGATCATAATTACTTTGTTGAGGAACTGCTTTAGTGGTTTCCTTAGTGACTGCTATTTTACAACCCCAGCAACAGTTTATGTGTTCTGACATTTTTACAACCTCATCAACATTTGTTATTTTCTGTTGTTTTTTGTTTTGTTTCTATTTGCTTTGTTGTTTGATAGTAATCACGCTAATGGATGTGAGATGGTTGTCCTGTGGTTTGGATTTCCATTTCTCTGATACTTAGTGATGCTAAAGACCTTTGCATGTGCTTATTGACCATTTATGTATCTTTGGAGAAATGTATGGTCAAGCCATTTTGTCTGTTGTTTAAATTTCTTGTTATGGTTGAGTTGTAAGAGTTCTTTAAATATTCTGTATATTAATCCTTTATCAAATATATGATTTGTAAATATTTTCTTCCATTCCTTGGCTTGCCTTTGACTTTGTTGTGTCTGTGGATGCATAAAAGTTTTTAATTTCATACAGTCCTATTTGTTTATTTTTTTCTTTTGTTTGCTCTGCTTTTTGGTTACTTTCCAAAAAATAATTGCCAAATTCAATGTCATAAATATTTTTTTTTGCTTGTGTTCTAAGAATCTTACAATTTTTGCTCACATTTAGTTCTTTGATCCATTTTGAGTTCATTTAAATGTGTGGTAAAATATGCACTTTCTTATCCTGCTTTCCCAACAACATTTTTTGGAAAGACTCTTTCTCCATTGAATTTTTGTCAGAAATCATTTGATAATATATGTGAAGGTTTATTTCTGAAAGCCCTAATCTAGTCCATTGGTCTATCGCTTTGTCTTTATACTAGTATGACACTGTTTTTATCACTGCAGCTTTGTCGTAAGTTCTGAAATCATGAAGTGTGGGACTTTCAAATTTGTTCTTCTGTAAGATCATTTTAGCTATTTGGGATTCCTTGAGATTCTTGCAAATTTCACCATGAATTTTTCTATTTCCACAAAAACACCATTGATATATTGACAAAGTTTGCGTTGGATACGATCAACAATTTAACAATATTAACACAATTTATTATTATTATTATTATTATTTTCCATTTATTTATTTTATTGCATTTTAGGTTTTGGGGTACATGTGAAGAACATGCAAAATTGTTGCATAGGTACACACATGGCAGTGTGATTTGCTGCCTTCCTCCCCATCACATAC